CTCGCAGCAAGAGAAATCCATCCAAGCTACAAGAAAAAATGAAATTAATTGTGTTTCTAACGAGCGTGCCCAATTGCGATTACCTCCAGCATTTGGAGTGCGGCTGCACGATGGGGGATGAGTTATAGCCGCGTGCCATGAAAACTTCGTGGCTGGAAGCTTAGAACCTGCCAGGACTTGAACCTCGGACGTCCCCATCATCATGATGCGATGCGAGTCCAAGAGCTTCCCGCCCTCGTCAGATCTTGCGACAATCCCAGCGATGCCCGCCGGATCCACGCCCAGATCCTTCACAGCGACCACAATAACAGCGTATTCCTGCGAAATCTCCTCGTCCAGATATCTCGGCCGGGGACGTGCAGCGCGCCAAGCAGCTCTTCGATCGCATCCCTGCCAAAGAATTCCATCACCTGGAGCACGATGATCGAGATGTACTCGCAGAGTGGCAATCTCGGCAAGGCAGAGGCGGTCCTTGCCGGAGCAATCTCCGCCATGATCATGGCATATGCCCATAACGGGCATCTCTCACGCGTGAGTGAGGTGTTCGATAATCTGCCCCAAAAGGACGTTGGACGGCCATGATAGGCCACTGCCAGAACCATAGAATGCCCACAAGGAATGTAGTAACATGGGCGACCATGATCACAGAATATGCCAAGCAAAGATTCTCTTTGAAGATGCCCCGGATCTTAATGAGGCGGCATTTACGGCTATGATGGACGGCTACGCATTTAACGGCTGCGTGGAAGAAGCTAAAGCTTTGTTTGAGATGGTGCCAAACAAAGACGTGGTTGCTTGGAACTCCATGCTCTATGCATATGCTGCGACTGCGCATTTGGAGGAGGCACTGGATTCTATCCAAAACATGTCTCACTGCGACAAGATCTCTTGGACGACAATGATTCATATGCTTGCCTCTAGAAACCATTGTGAAAATGCAAAGTTTATTTTTGATTGAATCAGCACTCCTCTTGGCCTATCTCTGGAATGGCCACCTCCAAGAAGCAATGAGCCTCTTCCAGGCGATCGAGGAGCGTGATGCAATCGCATGGGTGGCAATGGTGGTGGGTTTTGCTCACAAGGGACTCCTCTTGGAAGCTTGAGTTTCGTTTGAGAGAATGCCAAAGCGAGACTTGCTCTCATGCACTGTAGTGGTGGCCATGTATGCTTCCACCGGGCATGTAACTGAGGCCTTGGAAACCTTTCACAGGATCATCCAGGAGAGCACAATGCCTGATCACATCGTCTTTATGAGCATGCTTGTGGCATGCTGCCACTTGAGCATGGTGAGGACTACTTTCAGTCGATGATCCCAGATTATAAAGTCCTACGGGAGAACACTACTGTGGGCTTGCTGACACATTTGCAAGGGCTGAAGAGTTGGACAAGGCCGAGGAGCTTATCCATAACATGCCCTTCAAGCCTGAGAGTGTTGCTTGGGTCTCACTGCTGGCTGCTTGCCACAAGGATCCTGAGCATGGAGTGAATTTCTACGTGCTACTTAGCCAGAATTATGGAAGTGAATTAACTTGATTTATAAAGATTTGTTGTGATTAAGCTATGGCTCGCATTCTTTCTATCTTTCTTCATAACTATAAAGAGGCTGTAGGAGTATGGGGAGTGGAGTTTTGTGATCACTACCAAAGAGAAGAGCAAAAAGGTGGAGTTGTTAGACAATTCTTTGCTACTACCACCAACTTTGGATAAGAAACCCATGCTTGTGTTGGACACTAATCCATGCTCACAAGGCCACAGCATCCCTCAAATTTTTCAGTGGAACAACTATTCCATTAGAACAATACCTTGTGGCAAAGAAACCAAGTGTGGATAAGAATAAGATATATGAGATTGTGTTTTTACTCAAACAATGAAGTTATATGCTAACAAAATTTTGGACAAACTAGACCCATTTGGGAATCTCTTTGCCCATTGTCTTTACAGAGATTCATGCTCAACCAAGGAAGCTAGAGGGAAAAAGGTTATGAAAGATCTCTCAAGATTATCAAACACACAGTGATTGTGCATGAGAAGCCAAAGTCTTTTTGCTTGCAGCCTAACAATGGGATTATCATCCACGCATTCAAAACAAGAAAGGGCATATGTACAAAGAATTGAAAACAATAAGCAATCTGCTTAAGAAAATTGCAAGTGTTGAAGATGCAAGACAAACATTGGAAAAGCTAAAAAGTTAGACAATAAAGAAACTCATGTAAACTCACTCTGACTATTTATGCTGTAACACTGCTCACTCTAAATTGATTCTGGCATTGTTTCCCTCGCGAAAACTGTCCAATAATCATAATCAGAAAAGCATAATAGCATACACCAATCAATAATTGTGATACTTCAGCAGCAGCGTCATCCACAAAGAGCCAATCAATATACCTTTGCACAGAGAAATGACGCAGCTCCTTATGTTCTTCAATCTCTCTGTCCTGAAACGCACCATCTCAAAATCCCATGGCTCGCTTAGCTGGCTTATCCTTTTAGTGTGGCTCGACGAGAGGTACATAGTTTGGATACGGAAAGCAAGTTTATCCATTTTGTTCCATCTGGTACGTTTAGCAGCAAAATTGTGCTCGGCAACTATAAGAAATCATAGTAAATCCAAATTCCACTGTGTTGTATTTACATCGGTTTGAGATCCATAAGTATCAACGACACGTTGACTTTTCCGGTGCAAGGCATTCTTGCAGATGGAACTGAAGGAACGATCATTGATTCAACGTTTGCATTCAGCTGTTTCACAGCAGATTCCTACACCCCTCTTGTGCAGGCCATACAAAACCTCAACTCTAACCTCACTCAAGTATCGAGCAACAGAACTGGAGCACTGCTTGGCAATGATATTTACTACACACAACCACCACAAACTCTGACTTATCACTTAGAGGATGACATACAGGTTGAATTTCAGACATGGTTTCTGCTAGATGAATATGCTGAAAATGCGTCTGTGTGCTTGAACATACGTCTTCGTGTCTACAACTCAAGTGTTTTCTTTTCTTCCTCTCCTGACGTATCTTAAGTAAGACACTTTCAGAACTTTATCTTATCAAGTAAAACCACGAAATTCAGTCAATTCTGATATGGTGATTTGTTGCTTGTTTCCAAATGAGGATCTCTTGTGTAGCAATTGTGCTCTTGTTGGTAACTTTTGCAGGATGCATTCAAGGACAGCGTGCAAGGACTCCCACCCAACAGGATGCCAATTGTCAACACTAACCTGTTTTTGCCCTCTTCTCGAAAAAGCAGCCAAGCCTTGGAAGCCAACTTCTTTCTTGATGGTGCACTCAACTTCGCCATGGATCTCAGCCTGGGAACTCCGCCTCAGCCGCTCAACTTCACTCTCGCGGTGGACTCCGGGTTTTCTTGGGTGGCATGCTCCTCGTCCTGTGCAATCAATTGCACCACCGCATCTCTCTTCCAGCTATCACACCAAGCTTCCATGCGGTTCTCCATCGTGCTCGACATTCAGTGCCGTTTCTACGAGCTGTGGACCATCCTCCTCTTGCTCGTACAACACATCGTACGCCACTAACTTCTCGGCTGGTGACTTGGTCAGCGACATTGCAACAATGGATTCCGTACGAAACCAAAAATTGAGCGCGCTGGGATACAGGAGCAAGTTTATCTACTGTTTTCCTCGGATACTTTCTGTCAAAAGCTTGTAATTGAAACTACAAGCTGTAGGACAGTCATTGACACCACCACCTTTTTGAGCTTCGGATTTCTACACTCAGGTGGTACAAGCAATAAGAAACTACACCACCTATCTGGTGGAAGTGTCAAGCAGCAATGCAGATGCTCTTGGCCTGGAGCTTTGCCACAACATCTCGGCAAACAGCGACTTTCCTCCACCGGCAGCCCCTCTCTTATCACTTCTTGGGCAGTGCCGGCAATCGAATCAAAGTGCCAATATGGTTATTCAGGCAACGTGAACAATACCATTTGCATGGCAATTGGGAGGTCTGAGAGCGTTGGGCTGTAGAATGTCATAGGGACGTACCAATGGTCTTGGAGCAAATGAGGTTCAGATTTGGAGCTCAAGGTTGTAACACCAATGGCTACTACTTCCTTGGCAGAGTTTTGCAAGAAACCACTCTGGCTCTACTGCTTTTGTTGCTCACAATCTAAAAAGTGGTTTCTCAGTGAACACATCGCCTCTGATTCATAAAAATCGAATATGCCTGGCACATTCTCAAACACCCTAGCACCATCCGTACATCTCGATGAGCTTGCTAGACGCGAAGTGTCAAGCGCGGAATTTCGCTCGATTTGGATGCGCGAGGGGAGAATCTGGCGGCATGGGCGATCGAAATTTCCCTAGACCCGATCGAATCGACCTAAAATTCGTTTATGCGTTTAGTGAAAGACGGTAGCAGGCACCAAAAGATTAGCTTATTCGAAGAACCCTAAAGCAATCGTGGCCGTTGGATGTACTTGTTATCAAACCAAAAGGAATCTTTCAAGGGTGTTTTTTTGACCGAGTGCTTCTTCTTTCTCTTCAAATTGTCATGATCCCTGTTCTTCGATGGTGGCACTGCTGAGTTTTGTCCTTTTTTATGATCACTTCATGCGCCATTGACGCTTGTTTCTTGCTATCCATATTGATGTTCATTCTAAGCACCGACCATGGATTCGAGACTAGGACAAAATCGTCAGTCTTCTTTTTGCCAACAATCTAATTGTCCTTGTTAACTAGAGATGAGGACAAGGCCTTTTCACTAGATGCTCTAACCTTTGACTCAATCCAGCCATTTTTTTTGTCCTTGACACTTCTTCTGGTTTTCATCTTCGTGTTGAAATCTTCTAGAACTCAAGCGTTTTCTTTTCTTCCTCTCCTGACGTATCTCCTGCTTGTTTAAGTAAGACACCTTCAAAACTTTATCTTGTCAAGTTTACTATACAAACCGCGTCAACATAGAAAATTCAGTCTGAATTGATTTGTAAACTCGAGATATATATCTCCTTTGCCTTTGCAATTTGCTTGTTTCCAAATGAAGATCTCTTGTGTAGCAATTGTACTCTTGTTGGTAACTTTTGCAGGATGCATTCAAGGACAGCGTGCAAGGACTCCATATCGTAACCGTGGTGTTGGTTTCTTCCCGCCCAATAGGACGCCAATTGTCAACACTAACCTGTTTTTGCCCTCTTCTCGAAAAAGCAGCCAAGCCTTGGAAGCCAGCTTCTTTTTCGATGGTGCACTCAACTTCGCCATGGATCTCAGCCTGGGAACTCCGCCCCAGCCGCTCAACTTCACTCTCGCGGTGGACTCCGGGTTTTCTTGGGTGGCATGCTCCTCGTCCTGTGCAATCAATTGCACCACCGCATCTCTCTTCCAGCCAGGTTTGTCAACTTCTCACACCAAGCTTCCGTGCGGTTCTCCATCGTGCTCGGCATTCAGTGCTGTTTCTACGAGCTGTGGACCATCCTCCTCTTGCTCGTACAACACATCGTACGGCACTAACTTCTCGTCGGCTGGTGACTTGGTCAGCGACATTGCAACAATGGATTCCGTACGAAACCGAAAAGTGGCGGCTAACTTGTCCTTGGGTTGTGGCCGCGACAGTGGGGGGCTGCTCGAACTCCTCGATACGTCTGGTTTCGTGGGTTTTGACAAGGGTAACGTGTCATTCATGGGGCAATTGAGCGCGTTGGGGTACAGGAGCAAGTTTATCTACTGTTTGCCCTCGGATACTTTCCGTGGAAAGCTTGTAATCGGGAACTACAAGCTCAGGAACGCCTCCATTTCTTCGTCCATGGCCTACACCCCCATGATCACAAACCCACAAGCGGCCGAGCTATACTTCATCAACTTATCGACCATTTCTATCGACAAGAACAAGTTTCAAGTTCCAATTCAGGGATTTCTTTCCAATGGAACCGGTGGAACAGTGATTGACACCACCACCTTTTTGAGCTACTTGACGTCGGATTTCTACACTCAGCTGGTACAAGCAATAAAAAACTACACCACCAATCTGGTGGAAGTGTCAAGCAGCGTCGCAGACGCTCTTGGCGTGGAGCTTTGCTACAACATCTCGGCAAACAGCGACTTTCCTCCACCGGCAACCCTCACTTACCACTTTTTGGGCGGTGCTGGAGTCGAAGTGTCAACATGGTTTTTGCTTGATGATTCAGACAGCGTGAACAATACCATTTGCATGGCAATTGGGAGGTCTGAGAGTGTTGGACCGAACCTGAATGTCATAGGGACGTACCAGCAGCTCGACTTGACGGTGGAATATGACTTGGAGCAAATGAGGTATGGATTTGGAGCTCAAGGTTGTAACACCACCATGGTGGTGGATGTCAATACTTCCTCAGCAGAGTTTTCCAAGAAACCACTCTGGCTGATGTTATTGCTTGTGTTGCTCACAGTCTAAAAAGTGGTTTCCCAAGCAAACAAGTGAAAGCATCTAATATTTAAAATACGAATATGCCTAGAAGATTTTTGTAAGAACAGCCCTAACATAATCGCGGCCGTTGGATTGGAAAACGTGAGATTCATAAAAATCGAATATGCCTGGAACATTCTCAAAAACCCTAACATGAGCTCGGAGACTGTGGGCCGTCGATGCGTTCCATCAACGGTGTTTAATCCCCAGCGCCGCCCTAGTTTTTGCGTTTTTGTGTGCCCTGGGGTTTTAGGCGCTGCTGCTCGTCGCTCGCGATGGCTGGAAAGAAGGGGCCCGGTTTCTGGTCGGATGTTGGCAAGAAGACTGGCGGTGAGTGCTGCTGCTATTCGCGGTGAAATCGCATTTCCTCATCCTCTCTTCTTGATTTTGCGCGAGCAGACCTCCTCTACAAGGATTTCTCGGCCGATCAGCGATTCAGTCTGAGCTCCACGACCTCCACTGGGCTGGTAAGAAGAAGAGATCTTTTCTCGGCTGGGATTCAAGGAGAGGTTCTTAACTGTGGCTTTGTAGACTTTCTCCTCTTTCGGCGTCAAGAAGGGGGACGTCTTCGATGGAGATTTCACCACCACTTACGTCTGCAAGAACGTCACGGTGGATGTGAAAGTGGACACGCAATCGAAGGTGAAGAAGCTCTTACCTCGTGAGATAAGATGGTTCCTTTTTCTTGTAGATCTTCTCCACTGTCAAGGTCGATGATCTCGCTCCGGGGACCAGGGCGATCTTCAACTTCAGTCTTCCGGATCAGAAATCTGGAAAGGCAAGCAAAGCAAAGAATGGAAAACTTGTTCTCTCTCTCTCTCTCTTACCTCTTCCTTTTTCGCAGATGGAGCTCCAGTACTGCCACCAGTATGCCGGAGTTACTGCCAGCGTTGGGCTAGCTTCGTCTCCCGTGGTGGAATGCACCAGTGCCTTTGGTAGCAACGACGTCGTCATCGGCGGAGAGGCCGCGTTTGACACTGCGTCGGGGAATTTCACCAAGTACAACGCTGGAGTTGGCATCAACAAGCCCGAGTTTACGGCCGCGGTCGTCGTGTAAGATCTTCTCTAGCTCGAGCTTTCCTGTTTGATCCTGGATGGCTGACTTAGAATCCCGAGCTTGCTGGCTACTTGATTTTCATAGCTGCGAGTCCCTGTGACTGACATTGATCTCTTTGGTGGCCGCAGAGCTGACAAGGGTGACACCCTCAAGGCCTCGTACTCGCACGTCTTGAGCCCGTTCACGAGGACCACCGTGGGAGCTGAGATATCCCACAAGCTGTCCACCAAGGCGAACACCTTCTCCATCGGTGGGATGTATGGCCTGGACGCGCTGACGACGATCAAGGCCCGGTTGAATAACCATGGACGCATCGCGGCCGTGGTGCAGCACGAGTGGAGGCCCAAGTCCGTTATCTCGATCTCAGGCGAGGTGGATACCAAGGCGCTCGAGAAAAGCGCCAAGCTCGGCCTGGCGCTCTCCCTCAAGCCATAGCCGCGGCCGCTAACGCTTATGTAAATTCAAAATTTTGCGGAACATCGAAGTATTTTTCCAGCTTAAAATAAGTTCCTGTGACAATTATCTTTTGTTAGTTCAATGATAATAAGCTTCTTCACCTGGTTTGTTTCGCGCAAAAGCACAGAAGAGTAAAGGAAAATGCCCGGACGGTCAGGCGTGGTATTTTTTCATGGACATCTTCATGATGCTTCTCGTCGTCTCTGAGCTGCGAGGCGTCGTTCGAGTGCTTCGCCGCATTATGCTCATGAGCTTGTCCTTGGGCATGTTGAAATGAATGTTTGGTAGCGACAAGCGTAGAGGATCCTGCAGCAAATACACGTTCAGCTTATGGTGTAACTCAAAGAACGTTTTCTCACCGAATGGTATTTTGATTTTCTCGGTTTTCCTGTGCTCGTGCTTTTTTCCGTAGTCGTCATTTCTTCCAGAGATTTTTGCTTGACGTGCTGAAGATTTGGCGGCAACAATGGTCCCCAGGGGACAATTTTCTGTATGCATTCTCCCCTGTAAGTTTATATGAATGGTTATTATAGTGAAACACGAACCTTTATTGGAAGTTGACGATGGAAAGCCGCTTGAAGTGGTGCGAACCATGAATCAAGCCTCAGATGTGGTGGTCCAGCATCTAGAATCGCCGCTGCTTTGGCTTGAATTGCGCTGTAATGTGACGATAAAACAGCAACGTTAAAAGGAATTGCGATCCTCCGTGCTTAGTACCTTGATGAAGGTTCTTTGGCTTCGGGAAAATCTGTGGGAGTTGTTTCTTTGGATTCAGTTTCACCAGATGTTGTCAACAGAGAGCTGCCCCTACTTTCCCTGCTTGAACTCGACCGACTTCCCGCGCTTGAGCTTAGCCTTGAGCTCGCAGAGCTGTCCGAGTCTTGTGAAACATAATACGCTTTTCTACCAATCCACTGCTCAGGGCTTGATAAATCCCATCCACCGTACTGTCCAAATTGTCCAATCCGGACTCCTTTCTCAGTCCACAGACGGCTGTTCCAGATCCATGCGTATTAGTTCACGAAACAGATTAAGTATGAATTCTTGCCTTGTGCCAAATGTTGAGGCGGTAACAAGTATCCTATCCGTTTCGATAAATGTCATCGAGACCTGAACAAGAAACAGTTAGTTTTCAATCTGACAAAAACATTTGATGTACGATCGTTTCATGATGAGCTCGAAAGCAAAACATCTCCGGAACAGGCGTCAAAGGGCGCTCGGCTTGATGGAAGTCGCATGCGGCCAATGACCACGATTTCACGTAGCCCTTTATATCCGAGGAGAACAAAAGCTGCATAGTTCGGGAAAATCTTAGAAAGTAACCTCGTGCGTTTGTGTACTTACTTCGTTTTTGGAATCCGAGCACATTGGACCTGGTGCACCGATATGGCATGTCGGAATCTCATGAAGCTGCAAAATCAGATGTCAACACCTTCACAACGCTATTTTGATTCACTTACCACGCTTGCATCAGGAACACGCCAGAAATAGATGTATCCATCTGAAACGAATACAGCCAAGACTTTTTCCTGCACAGATATACTAAAAATGTGTTGGCGTAAATTTGTTGGCGTACCAGCTGACCAAGAAACTGTATGTTGACGATTGATCTTGATTTCGCAAAAGACTCGTTCGGTGGTGGATTCAGCACGCATTTTATCATTCCATCAAGCTTCCAAACAATCACCTAGACGAGAAACCAGTCATAAAAGCATCAAACTTAAGTAGAACAACAAACCTTTCCATCATAACCACCAGTTGCAACACCACCCGGTGGACAAATGCTCATGCAAACAATGTCATCGGTATGACCGTGCATCTCTCGTTCCAAGGGCTCTGACTCTTTCAAACCGTCGTGCCATATGCAAACCTGAAAATGTTCTGTTGGATATAACAGGCTAGAAGTTCAAAAGAAACAAGCCTCACCCTTCCATTCCATCCACCGGCAGCAACATACTTGCTCCTTCCTTCCGCCAGGCACACAACACAGGTGATTTCATCCTGTAGGAAGATAGTATTAAAGCTCTGAAAATGACATGTACTGACCTGACCAAACCCGCAGTACTCCTTTAGACACTGGCCATTGTTGAAGTTCCACATTCTCAGAGTTCCGTCCTGTCCCCCAATCAAAAGTCTTCGGCCGGAAGCATCAACAGTCATCGCTGACATTTTTGTCGACCTGTGCAAAATAGTTAGATCTTTCAAGGCATCATAATCTTCTAGACATACTTGCCGTCTGAGAATGAGAAAGTATGGTGTCCATCGTCAATGTTCCAAATAGTGACAAGCGACTCAATTTCAGCCACAATGAGCTGGCGAAATGTACTACTGAAACCCGAACCACATATCTTCCCTGAACGCGTTTCACTGGCAAGCCGCTTGCGCCATGCTTGCAGTGAGGTACCTCCACCTAAAAGAACCTGCGAAGAATGGAAAGATGAGTAAGAAAAATGATGACACTGCAAAAGCAAAGTCTTACGCTTCTTCGTTTGTCATAAAGAAGTCTGGAAATTATTGGAGGTTCGCCAGATTTATCGAGTGTCTTGTCAACAACAGTTTGCATACACCGATTGCTCCTCATATCCCAAATTTTTATGATGCTGTCGGTTGCTACACTTACGATTTGGTTATCGTCTTCGTTTACAACGACGTCCTGCATGTAAAACAATGTCAGTTTACACAAGGCAGCTTCCATCAATGCACAAACCACAACAGGCGACTGATGCCCGATCAACTGCCCCATTATCTTTGCTGTAAAAGGATTCCATATGTTAACGTTTCTTTCCAACCCGCAAGTGACAATGAAATTAAAACTCCTGTCAAATAAAAAAGGTTTAGCACAAACTGAAAGTCTTGGAAGTTCGATGCAAACCTGCAATAATCTAGTGCAAATATCCCGTGGTGGTGTTCTTTGCCAGACCACTTCCTTTTCTGTTTTTCTAGATCAAGCATGAGCAGTGTGCTATCCATGGAGCAGCTCAGTAACGAGGACGAATGAGATAGATACTTAATCCTTGTAACCCAGTTATTGTGTATTTTCCAAGGTAGCTTTTCAGACATGCCCGGCAAAAGCTCCTCCGTCACCCCAGCTGCAATGCGTGGAATCTCCCTGCAACACTCGCACACTGCAATTCCAAATCGAAGAAAACAGAATCCTTACCCTCCCCACTCGTCAGAGAAATCATACACATGAAGGTAGCCACGGTCATCTCCATATAGCAGCTTATCATTCTCTGGAGTCCTCACCCAGGTAGCACATAATGCTCCATTTCTCTGTTAAGAAAATGACTTAGAAACCTTTGAAGGATAATAAGAACTTACCAAGTTCTCAATCCTTCCCAGGACATCAAACGAAAGTCTTCCCGTGTCATAAAACGTCACACTGCATATTCCAGATGTCAAAGATGCATCGTCTTCTGCTTCATCTAGTCACCTTCTATCCATTGCAAACACCGCCAGAGGTTGTTGAGCCATGGCGACAATGTCAGTGATCCACGCTGCCATATTTCAACTTCTATAGTGGAATTTCATCAGGGAAGAAGCACTCGTGGGGACATGTACCTCCACCACCATTCTTTTGTGTTCGTAACAACTTCAGAGAATCTCCATGCCACAATTTAAGCATTCCGTCTTGTGTTGCTGTAACATATGTTTGTATGTGAGACAAAAGAATAATCTGCACGATGTCTGCTGTTAGTAGCGTAAAACTATGATACATGCCAACCTTTTCAATGATATGAGAAGGCCGCTCCACAGTCGTGTTACAAGCTTTGAAGCTTTTCATAACTGGCCTTTCTGCTATGACCTCGTCCTCTTCATCAGATTCCTCAGAATCGGACTCATCCTCCATTTTTGTTGCTCCTTTCTTGCTAGAAGGTTTCATCTTCACATACGTTGCAAAGTCCGCACCCGGCTCATCTTCTTTTGCTAGCTGAGAAAGCAGAGTTTGTTTTAGCGAGAGCCGCGGTTTCTAAGAAACCAGTACCTGTTGCTGAAGAATGTAGCTTGTAAAATCATCAAAATCTACAACGCCCTTGCTGTTCACATCGACCTTCATGAAAAAATGTTCCATTTCCTTTTCACTGACACACAAATGCACGCTTTGTTACAAAGCACTTACGAGTAGTCACAACGAACCTCAGCTCAGAAGCCACGTCCTTGATGTTCTTGCACGTTTTGATGAAATTTGCCTGCAAGTCAAGCATTTGTTACTCGATAGTAATTTGGAAAGTTAAAAGCCCAACTCTGTCAAGTTCTTCACGCGTGGCTTTATCAAAAGCCTTTTTGAACTCCATGAGCGTGTGAGAGCTTAAACCTCCACGCCGTCTTTGAGGCTGAGGCACAAGTCAGTAAACCATCATACTTTTTTGTTTTCCTTCGAAAGTAGACCGACCTCAGGCTGTGGTTTTGATTTAGATACTGGAGCTCTATCCGAGGGCCCTCCAGGTTTTGGAGGCAACTTTCCTCCGTGTGCTCCACTTTCTCGTTCACGAGCATGAAATATTTGCTGCCAATTTGCAAAAGAAAAGCTCAGAGCCGGAATGCGTTCCAAAAAAATAGACTAACCGCGAAACTCGACTTTCGATTTCCACGCCACTTCGATGACTTGAAAACGTCGAACTCGTTGTTATCTCCATCGGCCATCGCAACAGCTCAACGACGAACACCCGCCCGCGACGGTGGCCGGTCCAAAAACCTACCTGACACCACACAAAAGTGGTTGAGAAATGGACTCACGCGAATCCGTGCCCTATTGCGCTTTGAATCAACGATGTTTTATTCCCCAAAACCCGTCGTGGCACATTTTGAGCCACACGATCAGCTTCCCCTGTTCTAGTCTTTGGCGTCTGTGATCCCACCTGGTGCTATCTGGAAGACGTGAACACTGTCAAGGGCAGCTAGTTGAAACTTTGGAAGAAAAAAAAATCCAACGAAAGGATATAGCTTCGGACTCCGGGAGGCTTGGAGAGTCGATGACTTTGCAGATTCTTTGTTCGCCCTTCCCCTTTCTGAACATCAGCCTTACTGTCGAAGCATGAGCCAGGACGTGGCCACCAGCGGGCTTTTTTGGATCCGCGACGAAGGTCCCGCCGCCGGGGTCAGCAATGACTTGGTTCGTAAGAAACACCGCGACGTTGAACTCCTCAGCAATTTTGATGAGCCTGGAGAGCATCTGCGCCAGCTTTTGCTGCACGGCCACAAAGTTAATTGGCTGAGTGTATGAAGTAAAAGTCGTCTTACTTGTCTCTCTGCCAATTCTCCACGCCCTGAGAAGTCTACCCGAAACAATGAGGTGATGGAGTCCACAATCTGTGCAGTTCCTTGTAAGACAGGATAGAAGATTCAAGAATTAATTCTTACCAAGAGCCTGAACGGTTCTTCAGTCATTTTAGCCGCTATGGCGATCAGAAGGTTGTACTGATGCTCGTGCGTGTATGCTCGAGCATACACAATCTGGAAAGCCGAAAGTTACTCAGGGGTTGAAGAGCTAAAATGCTTACGTTGTCAAGAGCAGCTGTTGGATCCAGTCCAAACCTTTCCGCGATGGCGACTATTCGATCAGGACGACTGCAAGCATCGTTTAGAATTCACATCAGAGAAAAGCAAAGCATAAGACGATGACCATACAATGTTCCCTCGGTGTCGATGTAGGCCACTTTGCCATTAGCTCCGTGTAAGCCCAACGGCAGCTGCGTGGCTACGCAAAGAGTGTGCGCGAGCTGAGTTTTCCCAGTCCGGAATTCGCCAAAGGCTTCGGTGATTGCCATCGTTTCTATACCACCTGGTGCATATGGCGAAAAGAGATGAGAAAAAAAAAAAGAGAGAAAAGAATAGAGCATACCACCGAGAAGGTCATCCAAAAGCTGACTTCCTGTAGTGATATGAATCACGGATTTTCTCTTGTGAAGAGCCTCGTTCCCAGTGATATAGCCGACTTGCTGGAAAAAGGCAGTGAGCGAGAAGGAAAATCCAGATTCAAGGCACTTACGACTATCTTTTCTGCCGCTTCCAGGATCTTGTCGACTTTTGCTTCGGACAATCCCTTGATGGCTGTGAGGCTCTAGAGCAGCATAGAAGAAACTCCACAGATAGGGGAGAAAGAATCGATCGATTCGCACCTTCTTTGTCTGCATGATCAGTCCATTGCATGTGTGAATTCCCGCATCCTGGAGCTTTTTCACATCCCCGGCATTGATTCCCTGTGCGGTGACTGGGAGAACAAGAAATCTAGAAGGCCGAGCGATCGATCTAGAGCCAAAACAGAGACTCACGCTTATCGATCGTCTCAAACGAGTCCTCCTCCTCATCGGCGACGGCGACGAGCTGATTGTCCTCTCGTACTTCCAAGGCGGCGGCGGCGACCGGGGTGCTCCTCATCGCTCAAGCTCTGGGCGGGAAAACCCTAGACTTTCAAATATGAAGCAATCGCAAGTGTTTTAGCGGGAAAGTAACGTTCAAAACGATCGCTTTGAGGGTTAGGTCAGTCAGCAGTGATCGCTGTCGGAAGAACTACGCATCTTCGAGGAGCTGGCGATGACGAATTCGAGGTGGGCGCATCTGGCAAGGCTCGTCACGTATTTCTGTCTAATCTCTGGTGAGGATGAGCGGCAGCAGGGCCTTCTTTCCTGGTTTGGCAGCAAGCAGCAGCAGCAGCAATCTCCGCTGCTTGAATTTGATCGGTTTTCCAGAGCAACAACACTCAGATTCTCTTGGCTGGCTACCAGTGATCGGGAACCTCTTCGCTCCCTTACGATCAGCGTCAATGCGGCCATGGATGGCTTCTGGTCCAGCATTCTCGCCTCCCAGCAGCTCCGATGCCTCGAATGGTGTCGAGCTTGGCGGCCCTCTCACGACGACGGCAGCGCCTCCAATCCTTCCCAATCTCGTCCACGGGCTTGGACGTAGGCACAACGCAGCAGCTCCTCGACTTTTGCCCCTCGGTCGTCTACTTCCAGCTGACCAAGCTGGTGGTGAAATCGCCGGGGACGTATTTGCTCAAGAGCCACAGCCTCCACTGGCTTGCACTGCGTTCTTGGAGGGGCAATAGCGTCGCCATCTTTTCTCTCGCGCAGGTTCTCTTTTTCTTTCTTTCTTTGTTCGTTCTTCTCGAGTTGCCAATATCAACAATTTTCCAGAATCCTGCAGATGTCGATCGCCTACCTCGACATGTCCAAGCTCCGCTGGATGTTCGTCCGCGTGGTGCCGCGCCTGGAGCTCTCGCCGTCGACGGGCAACATCGAGTGGATCAAGGCGCATAGGGGCGTGCGGATCATCCAGGAAGCTCAAGAAGCTGACGTTCACAAACACCTGTCAAAGCTCTGCCCATGTAACGCAAATCCTGGAGCGTTTTGCTTGATCACGCAGCTCGACTACTTCGTGAACTCTTCCAGCTTCCAGCCGAGGTCCGTCAACCTTGCACAGCTTCTGGAGCCATTCCCGGCCCTCGAGGTGTTCACAGTTGCTCACGCGTCCATCAAGGTACTTTACAAAGTTTCTCTGCATTTGCTCTATCCGATCCAGTGAGCCTTGACGAGTGGAGCAGCGGGCAACGAGTTCCCGAGTCGTGTCAAGATCCATCCCATCCGGTTTGGCGTGCCGCAGCGCTGCGATGTCGTCTCGCGTTGCACGAAGGCCAAGTTTGATTCGAGGCGCCCTACACTGCGATCCACCATTGCTTTCACAAGACGGAGGAGTGGTCTTGATGGTCAACGGCTCACGGGTCAAAAAGGTCAACGAAGGTCATGTCCAGCTCGGCGCCGCACGGTGTCAACCGAGCGGGATTCACGCGCCCAGTACACGAGTTTGCGCTTGAATATTTAAGCGGTGTGAGCTCGTGAAAGGGTGCCTGCTCTAGATTTTTCTTCTTCTCATTCTCTTGCCGATGATCATGGCTGGAGAAAGAATGTTCACGATTGTTGGCATCGTCTCAATGTTGCTTCTTGGCGGCGCTACTGCTGGTGGATCACTCGATCGCTCTCAACTTGGTCCCAAGGCAAGTGTTTTCAATGGTTTCTCTCTTTTCTTTCTTCCAACCAGGCAATGACGACTTTCGCATCGATCAGGAGCCGCGAGGAGTGCCCAGAAAGTTGCTTCAACCCGGCGCCGAGCTTGTGAAGCATGAGGCAAGAGAAGTTCCAGGCGGCGCTTCCGACCCAAAGCAGTACCAGGGCAGCATCGCGAAGGCGTGCGAGGACTACGAGAGGCAAATCGCCTCGTCTCCGCAAAGCTTCGATCCCTCTTCGCCACCGCCTCAAGAGCTCTACTCGTCTTTGGCCTGCGGGAAAGCGATGATCGAGAACAGGCATCCATCTCCATCTTCGTCCCTGGATTCCCTGCAGGAATCCCTCGCTGCCCGGCCTGGCGAAGGATCGTTGCTTCAACACGGTGGCAAGAACGAGATGATCAATGTTGAGCCGGAGAGGAACGTCCCGAGTGGTCGCGATCCCATCCATCACAAGATTGACAAGACAAGTTTTCCATGACAAGATCTTTGTATCCTTCTTTTGGCACGATGAGTAAACTGAAAGTTGGCAGTGAGGAGAAATGGTTTGCTGCTGGATGTCCCTTGGCGGGCTTTGTCGGTGAGTGAAGATTAATCTTAGATAAGAAGTTGAGATGGCCGAGTTGGTCTAAGGCGCCAGATTAAGGTTCTGGTCCGCAAGGGCGTGGGTTCGAATCCCACTCTCAACAACACTGCCCCGAGTCCGGACAATGCCCCAAAGAACGAAGCCTCGAGCGCGGAATTTCTTTCTTTTCTTGATATTGCTCTCGCGCTTGTGACAAGTAAGTGAATTGTAAGAACCTCTGAATCATACCCACTGATCTTGCTCATGCTTTTGCAAAATATAACTCAATGAGATGATGCCCGAGGCTGCGATTCCTGAAACGCTCTTCGTAATAAACTCCCACCGCATCCAAATAGTCTCGAAAAACCCCACAATCCTACCCGGCCCGCTTCGGAAAAAAATGCCGTGCATTCTCTCGTTGCGAGCGAATTGATCGTCTGGTCGAACGTCAGAGTCACCCACATGATATGTACGGATTTAGACAATATTATGTACGGAGATAGACAGTGAGAGTTCTTCAGTGATTCGAGAGCCGTCTTAATCGTACCCGGCTTTGATCACATGTCGATCCGGTTCTTGCCGGAACCTGCAAACCCATCCATCCCAGTTCATACGCCACTCCTTTGCCGAATTCTTCCAATTCCACAATAACTTAGGCGTTTTGACCGTCGTGATCCATGCCATCGTTTTGTCTCGCCTAGCGTCGTTAATAACATATTATATTAAACTAATCTAAATACTTAACTAGTTATGCAATGTTAACAGGAGAATAACCTGCGAACGTAAAAGATTCCAGCATATGCGTAGTTCTAGGGTTTAAGGAGAGGACTGCGCGCGCGCCCTGCGTCTCGGCGTCGCAATGGTAAGCGCAATGCCCGCCGCGTCGATTTCTCCCAATCGCTCGCTGTTTTTGCAGCTCTTCTTCTCGTATTTCAAGGAGCTCGTCGGGAAGGAGGTCACGGTGGAGCTCAAGAATGACCTCGCCATCACTGGAGTGCTTCATTCGGTGGATCAGTACCTCAACATCAAGCTAGAGAACATCAAAGTCGTGGACGAGATCAAGTACCCCCATATGGTTCGTTTCTAGTGTTTTTCTTTGTTTTATTTTCTTCTCTTTCGTCCTAGTTCTCCACTTCTCGTTTGTTCGTTTTCTTTTGGTTCTCAAGCTTTGTTTTCCTCTGGTGACTGATCGCGTTTTTCATCTTTTTTTTTGGTGTTCTTTCTTCTCTTTCGTCCTGTTTTGTAAGAGTTCTAGTATTTCTCCATTTGATCGTACTAGGCTACTTCTCTTTCGTTATTGCTTTCGGTTCTCAAGTTTTGTTCTCCTCTGGAGTGACTGATCGCGTTTTTCTTCTTTTTATGGTGTTCTTTCTTCTCTTTCGTCCTGCTTGGTTAGAGTTCTAGTTTTCTCCATTTTATCGTAGGCCTTGTTTTTTTTTTCGGTTATCGGGTTTAGCTAACTCTGTTCTCCTCTGGAGTGACTGATCGCGTTTTTCTTCTTGTGAAGATGTCCGTGAAGAACTGCTTCATAAGAGGCTCGGTCGTGAGATACGTACAATTACCAGTCGATGGTGTCGACGTCGAGATTCTTCACGACGCAACTCGTAGAGAAGCTCGTGGGAATTGAGACAAACCTGTGGTGGTCCATCACTTTGCTTCAATCCAAAACTCTTTCTTGTCGGAATATCCATCCAGGAAGTATGTGTTTTGTACTGGAATATCCCTTGCTTGTTTCCAGGTCTTTGCTACAGGACCATCGCACACCTCCGGTAAGCGACCTCTCATTTTTTGCGAATCTCTTTATCCTTAGCTTGTCCCGTGCAGTAAAATCCCGAGCTATGGAGGAACAATTCGTGCTGAGGGTTCCTCCCTCTGTAGCTGAGAAGCTGCACAGTATTCTCAGTGAGAATTCCGATGAAGACTCCATCGATCTCGCTTTTAACGGTGAGTCTCCTCGCCAGTGCCTCGATCGAGCAAAATTGAGCACTCTGGAGAGCTCGTTCTAGGTGATGGACGAACAGGCAAGTTCACAATTGGACAGGACGAGTACGAAGTCTCGCTTGTGGATCTACCCTGTGTCGTGGAATCGTACAAAACTTATGACCATTCCGTGCTGATCAAAACAGCCGACATTGGACAGGTGCGTTTGTTATCTCCTCCCAACTTAATCGTTACTTAGTTTCCTGTCGCATCCATGCCAGATGATCCTCGTGAATGATCCGGAAAATCCCTCGAAGCCAGATGCTACACCGGAGTACAAGCATGGACTCACCCCTGCCATGAAAAACGCACGAAAGCGAAGGTTTCGCAGGCAACCCGACATGGATGTAAGTCTATTTCAATTTCTCTCTCAGTTTTCACCGAAAAAAATTTCTCTTTTTGCAGCCTGAATACGTGAGTAAAGTCGAGGAAGACCTGACGAACATAATGGCAGGGGGCACTGCTCGCGATGTAGATATCCTTTCTCGGTTTTTGTTTTACTTGGCTTTTGTTTCCTTAACCGGCTCGACACATGTTGAAGTTCTTGAGCAGGAAGAAGAGGTCGAAGACGAGCCTGTCCAAAGGAAGCCAGCGCCAGAGCCAGTTCCCGCTGGAGTTGCCACTGACAAGAACAAAGTTTCAAAGCCAGTCGCTGATGGTTCTTCGTCCTCTGACGATGGCGACTACGACGACGACTCGGATAATTAAGAAAAGAACACTGGTATCTTGGATCTGTATTTAATCTATGTTTCTAACCAGCGCAGGAAGTGAAGCTATCAAGTAACAGTTGTCATGGTAAGCATTCGTTGATGATGCTGCCTCTTCGCTATCACTGATGTGTTTGTGGCTGTAGTTTAGTGGTAAGAATTCCACGTTGTGGCCGTGGAGACCTGGGCTCGAATCCCAGCAGCCACACCTTATTAAGGTTCCTCTTTTTTTTCTCATTGCCTTTGGTATATGCTTGTTTATCACAGCCGCTCATCTTCCCTCGGTTGTATCGTACGCATCTTCGAACATTCCTCTGTATATCCATGGTTCTCGCGTCTCATATACCTCTGCATGGCTGCCTCTCATTTGTTTCTGTCAGCTAGCCATGGAAGACATACTTCCTCCCAGTCCCAGGCGTTCTAGCAACTCAAACTCTCTTTTTTCCTCCAGCAAGTCCTCCATCGCCAGCATATCTAGCAGCAGCAGGCTTACGTTTTTCTCGCCAGACCAGGCCAGTCCTCGCACTGTGGTTGTGGTTTTTGATGTTTCGAGAGAAGTCTCTCTGGATGTTCTCGAGTGGACAGTGGAGCGAATAGTCCAGCCAGGGGATTGCTTAATTCTTCTCGGAATACTTCACGAGATCCTCACTCCTAGTAAGTAAAGATGATTATCTCTTGAGCTAAGTCGCTAACCGATGGGATTGTTTCTCACAGTGGGTTACAAATCCAAGGTGGACTTTGCATCTTTCAACGGAGTGAACTTCAAGTGCCTAGAGGAAGAAACAGCGAAAACGATCAAGTACTACAATATAAAATCGATCAAAGTCCAGCAGCTATGCGATGAGCACCGAGTAAGCACGCACGATAATCCTGTGAGCCTGCTTAATTAACAGTAAGAAATCCCATGCAGATCAAGCTTGACGTGAGAGTTGCCAAGGGGCATCCACTCGATCTGATCGCGTGCCAAGAAGCCAAGAAACTTAAAGCGTCCTGGGTAGTGTTGGACAGGTACTCCGTGCTGCTACTTCAAGCGGTGAATGATTTCTCATAGCTCCATTTTGCAGGGGCTTGAAAAGATATAAGAGGAACATTGTGGAGCAGCTATCGTGTAATGTTATACTAATGGACCGGAATAATGAAGGGAATCTCCTGAAGGTATCTGAATCCGTAGTTCTGAATCCATCCTTACAGCTCAGTAGCGACGTATCTTCAGATAGTCCTAACGAGGGATCAGTGAGCAGTCACAAAGCTTTAGCCGAGAGGCAGCAGATTATCGCACTCGAGCTCGAAAGCAAGCAGCAGCATGGTCCCGAAACAGAAACTCGAGAAGTAACGCATTCTGATCCGGCACCCCCGGTATGCTTGATCTGCGAGAGCCAGAAACGTTTTAGGACGACAACGAACTTCACGTATGCTGAGCTTGAGGAAGCCACCCTCAACTTTTCCCCAGGAAACTTCTTAGCTGAAGGTGGCTATGGGCCGGTCTACAGAGGGATACTGAAGGATGGACGATACATTGCTGTGAAAAGAAACAAGGATGCGAGCACGCAAGGGGAAAAAGAATTCAAGGCGGAAGTCGAAGCTCTCAGCGGCGCACAACATCGAAACCTGGTGACGCTTCTCGGGTTTTGCATCGAAGGCGGAAAGAGGATACTGGTATATGAATTCGTCTGCAACAAGTGCTTGGACTGGCATCTCTCGGGTAAGAGAAATATGTTTTTGACGAAGTCACTTCAAAATGGTTTTGCAGCTGCGAATACGAATGTCTTGCCTTGGTCTGCGAGGCATGCGGTCGCTGTGGGAGCTGCAAGAGCATTAAGATATCTCCACGAAGGCTGCCGAACTGGATCCATCGTCCACAGAGACGTGCGGCCTCACAATATTCTTCTCACACACGACTACACTCCAAAGGTGAGAAGAGCAGCCTCTCTTTCATTCCTTTTTCGTTTCAATGCGCTCAAAGATGGCAACAGGTTGGAGACTTTGGCTTAGCAAGATGGCAAAGCAACGATGATTCGGCTGCACAAACAAGGCTCGTCGGAACTCTCGGGTAAGAAACAAGCGGTGCTGGCTGATGACTGAAAAGAAAAGAAAAAAAAAACGATTTGGATGACTAAAAAAACGATTTTGTTCTTGGATCGAAGCTATCTGGCTCCAGAGTACATCTCCAGCGGCGAAGTTACCACCAAAACCGACGTCTATTCATTTGGCGTGGTTCTTCTGGAGCTTATCACTGGACGAAGAGCCATTAATCTGTCCTTGCCTGCGGGAGAAACAAGCCTCATAGAATGGGTAAAAAAAATAGGAGCTCTTTTTTCTTGTTTAAACAAAAGAACTAACTTGCAACAACAGGCTCGTCCCATGATTGAAACCAGAGAAGCGGAATCGCTGATTGACAAGAGACTTGGAGACAAGTTTAACATGTACGAGTTACACTGTATGATCCACGCGGCTTCGTTTTGCCTGCGAGCGGCTCCGTCAGAGCGAGCCACGATGAGCCAGGTTTGTGTTTGTCTGTGCCTCACGAAGAACTCTACAAGATCACTTTCTTGCATTCCAGATTTTGAGGATTCTCGGCGAAGAGTGATTAGAAGTACCTGCTATTGTTTGTAGTGTCAATATGTCAATATGTCAATACTAAGAACGTCGTAAGATGGAACCATTTGCGAAATGTATTCTTACCAGCTTGACAAAGCTTACTTACAGTGCTCGCTTTGAGCTTTTGCGCTATCCGGAATTTCTACAAGCTCCCCATCGGAAGAACCTGCTGCTTCGCTTTTGTGAACACCATCTTCGCCGTCGCTATCTAGACCCTGCAAACAAAGCATAGAAAACATAAGTCATGCTCCATTTGGTACTGTTTGTGAAAGTACTCACCGTGTTGTTGACCAGGCGATCGAAGTCTTCTGGATCGGAATCTCCATCATCACCTGAGAGATCATACAGAGATGCCAAGAGATAAAACAACCGAGAACAAACTCTTTCACCTTGTCCGTCGTCGTGACCATCGAGGGCTCCCAAAAGGTAGGCGTCCAGATCGTGATCGGAAGGATGCGGTTTCTTGTCGATTGCATCGCTCGAGCTTTCTTCTCTCGGTTGATCTGGTTTTGTGCTGGACGTCTGATCGTCCACCTTTGTGATGTTTGCACGCGCTTCATATCTGTAAGGAATGCCAGAGTTAAGTTTCCGGGAGTGTTGTATAGACTCACGGGGCGATGTAGTTCTCGACGAGCTTGAAATAGATTTTCCAGAAGGTGGTCTCTTTCATCCTTCGCGGGCACAAAACGTAGCGAAAATCAGAGAGATCCTGGCTCAAGAGAATGCCAAAGCTTACGGGATGAAACATCACATGAAAGAAGAAAACTTACCGGAACAACTTGAAGAAGGAACACTGCGTGTTTCTCCTGCCATTCGCTTAGATCTTGGCGAACTCCTGTTCCGTTCACTGAAAGAAGAATTTAGTCAGCAAGAAGTAGATAAACCAAACATACAGTCTTTGGTATCGTAGTCCCGAAACGTTCTTATCGTGAAGGTCTTGACGAACTCTCGGAGCTCTGGTGTGATCCCATACGTTTCAAGTTCCTCTTGTGAAGGGCTCGGAGGAGTTACGCTTCCAGGCGAGAGCTCCGCGGTAGCAAACGCCTTAATTTGATCGGCTCTTTTGGTAGCCTCCACAGCCAACTCCTTGGATTTCTTCGCGGTTTCTAGTGCCAGCTCTTGCGAGAACTTCGCAGCCTCCTTGGCAAAGTCTTGAGATTTCTTTGCGGTCTCCTGCGCAAGATCTCGAGCCTTTTGGAATAACAAGTCCATTGTATCGTAACTGCGATCAACAACTCATCTCGAGAAACCTGAGTTTAGGAAAAGAGAGAGGACTTTAGCCAAAATCACAAACTAAAATGGAATGCAGCCAGCAAGAACGATTCACCAAGAAACAAGGAAGAAATCACACACCTGGATTGCACGCTCCACGCCCCAGATCCAAGGCGCCGCGGCAAGGGACGCAAGATTTTAGCTCGATCTAGCAGCAAGATCGCAGCGAATCGATCCAATCGAAAGGATTTCTCGCATGCCCTACCTCTTGTGCCCAATCCCTCCAAGCGCGCTTTCTTCCTTCCAAACAATGCCGTACACGTTCCCTATATACGGCAATGGCCGCAGTTTGATCCAACGGCGGCGAAGATGCAGACGTGGCAGTCATCCAGGTGAATAGAAAAATATATCTAGGACGATGATGTATTTAATCAAAACATTCCAAGGACAAGTAGCAAAACCCCACTTATAATGTGTGTGCAAGGAAGATTAAAATCTCCACTTGAGACCAAAGGCCTGGGAGAACCGGTCCCAAATGGATTGCTCACACTTTGGGAAGGAGCCAATGCCGGGGCCTGTGAAGCCGCAACTGGAGACGGGCTCGCTGTAACTGGGGCTGGGGCTGCGACTGGTCTTCTGTGCCTGTGGCCGCCTGGAAAGAAAAAGGAGCGAGTAGATTTTATTTACCGCGCGATTAGATCGTTTTTTCTTACCTTTGCGCCTGGGAGCCGCTGCTGGAGCTGGTACAACTACTCACAAATTTGACACAAGTTAAAACTTTCGAGATAGAAAACGGGAGTAAAATACCTTGCTTAAATGGGGCAGTCTGGGGCGCCAGTGCTGGAACCAAACCTCCTGGAGCCGGGGCAACTAAACAAATACACGATTAGACTAATCACGAGATAATACACAGTGGAAGTCGCCAAAAACCTTGCTTAAGTGGGGACGTCTGTGGTGCCAAAACTGGGGCCGAGGATGGAGCCTGGAGATTACCTGAGGGGTAAAAAACCAGAAATGAAAACTTAAGGTAAAACCAAAAGAAAGAATCACAAAGAATGGAAGTGAAAACTCAAGGTAAAACCAAGGTTAAAAAAACCAGAAAGAATGATGAAAGTCAGAACTTACCAGAGCACAGGCTGGGATTTAACCCCTGTAAGTTACACTTTGCTGGAAGCTCGAGGGCGAGGGTGGAGTTGATGCCCGGGATCGAACCCGCGTTGGCGGAGATGAGCGAGCAGAGGCAGGCGGGATTCGAACCGGCGATCGATTTGAGGCCACTGCAGCAGCCTTGCGCGGGCTGGGTCGCCTGGCCTTGGACGTAGGAGAGGCAGGGAATGAGCTGATTGAGCTGGCCATTGCAATTCGCGGGCTGCTGCTGGGCGAGGGAGAGATCGATCGATATCGCGAGGAGCAGTAGCAGCAACGCCAGCGGCGAGGCGATGGCGATCCAAGCTGGAGAAGCAGGAGGCGATCGCGGCGACATTGCGGAGAAAACTCTCGAGATCGCGAAGCGAAGAGAATGCGGTGGAGTGATCGATCGATCGCGCGCTTGAAGTGGGAGGCCAGCGATGGATTGAGTGAGGGAAAGTGCGGTTTTATACGCCGGGCTGCCAGCTGACTATGCGCTCCTCAAATCAAGCTGGTAGACAAAGTGCTACGTAGACGTCGAAGCGTGACACGTAAGCCCTTTACGGTCACTATAATAAATTCTTGACGATTGTATCATGGCCGTCCACGTGATGCACGGTTCGGATTGGTCTGAAAAGAATATACCTCCATCGAAGCGTTCGAATATATTCGAGTGGTCGCGGGTTCGACTTCCCGGAAATCACTTTTCACTTCACGGAGGCGAGGAAGGAGCGCGAATGGCCGCGGCGATCGCAGCAGCTGCGCTAAAGCGCATCTCTTTCTGCCTCCGCCTCTTGCTCCCCCGTCGTTCCTCCCATCGTTCCTCAAGAGCAGCGTGTGGACATGGAGATTGGTGATGCTCAGGAGGAAGCTGAGCCCGTTGAAATGGAGATTGACGGTGGAGGAGGAGCCGTGCAGGAGGAGCCGGAAGAGAAGCCCGAGGTGATCAATCCCGGCGAAGAGAATCCGCCCGAGGAACTGGAGCCAATGGACATCTGGGAGGAGGATACGACCCCGGAAGTGTTCGATCCAGACGATTCCTACTAGATTGTTGTTTCTTGTTTCTGCGATCGAGCCGAGATGTTTCTTTCTTGTGTCTCCGGTGTACTGGCTCCCCGGAGGTGATCGATCCAAGCGAGGATGAGCTCGATTGGTTCTAATATTTTGTTTTCTTCCATGCGATCGTGTTTCTTTCTCTCCAGGTCTTGTGTCTTTCTTGTGTCTCTGCTCGAGAAAACCTTTTCCTTTGCCCTTCTTCTTGCGCCTCAAGCATCGCCTTCTTTCTCTCCTTCGTGGAGCCACATTTTGCAGCAAGGTCGCGGTGGTATCCACGCGTCTCAGCGCAGAAGCATCATGAAGATGTCCATGGAAAAATACCATGCCCGGGCTTTTTGCTTGTTCTTGCGCAAAACAAACCAAGTGTCACCGATGAACTAACATTGTCACAGGAACTTATTTAAATTTTAAGCTGGAAAAATACTTCGAATTTACATGCGTTAGCGCCAGGCCGAGCTTGGCGCTTTTGTGAAGCGCCTTCGTGTCCACTTCGCCCGACATCGAGATAACGGACTTGGATTCAACCGGGCCTTGATCGTCGTCAGCGCGTCCAGCCACCGATGGAGACGGTGTTCGCCTTGGTGGACAGCTTGTGGGATATCTCGGTTCCAATGGTGGTCCTCGTGAACGGGCTCACGACGTGCGAGTACGAGGCCTTGAGGGTGTCACCCTTGTCAGCTCGCCAACGAGATCAAAGTCAGTCACAAGGACTAGCAGCTATGGAAACCAAGTAACCAGCAAGCTCGGGATTCTAAGTCAGCCATCCAGAGCTCGCGATCAAACAGGAAAGTTTTGAGCTAGAAAGGATCTTACATGACAACCGCAGCGGTGAACTCGGGCTTGTTCATGCCCAACTCTAGCACTGCACTTGGTGAGGCTGTGTCAAACGCGATGACAACGTTCGCTGGTGCATGGTGATTTCACCAAATGTCACGGTGGCGGACACACAATCGAAGGTGAAGAAGTGCTTACCTGCCTCTCAATGGTTCCTAGATTTTTCTTACCTCGTGAGAATGGTTGTAGATTCTCTCGACTGTCAACGTCGAAGGCTCAACTTTAGTCTTCCGGATCAAAAATCTGGCAAGTAAAGCAAAGAATGAAAACTTAATATCTCTCTCACCTCTTGGTTCCCGCAGATGGAGCTCCAGCGTTGGGCTTACTTCATCTCCCGGCAGCGCCTAAAACCGTGCTAAAATTACTCTCTCAACCCCCGACCTACTTGGACGATTTCCTGCGGCCGCTGAGCTGCATTAAGAGGCTCATTACCCCTCGAGGCCATGGCCTCTCCAATCCGAGAGGCGATGCTGCACTTGCGCCGGAACTCGCACGTGTTAGGGTTTTTGGGAATGTTTTCTAGGCATATTCGATGTTTACGTTCTCTCATCCAACGGCCACGACTGTGTTAAGTCATTTTAAGAATGTTCTTGGCATATTCGAGAAAACTATTTGCGTTTAAAGTTCTGAGAACTTGATCACAGAGATAGGCTTGCAATGCTCATCAAGAAGATAAGTTTTTGAGAAGATGTTTCTTTTGCTGGTTCATCATGACTGGCTACCCATCTCAGGCATGGCTCATGAATCCATAACCTGGAAATTCTTCTTCCACTTCAGCCGCTGCTGGGCGTGGCTCATCAATGGATAGTCTGGGAATTCGAAGGATCAGGAAAAACCGTGAAATGGACCCAGATTTCTCTTGCTAGTTCATCATGCACACACCTCCGTGGTTTCGTCAAAATTCTTGCACTGGCATCCGAATCAAGCTTTGGCTTCATGCAGCGCCACTCAACATTGCAGCACTGCGGGCTCATGTGGAGGGGATGATGCACCTCGACACCCATTTCCACGATCTCGGGAGGCACCTGGGGCTGAAAATTCGGCGGCTGGCCGTGCATGACGATCCCCGCTACTTTGAGCCATGTCACGAAGCTGCTGCTCATCACGAGCTCCTGCACAAAGTCGATCTCGTTGCTCTCCACTCCGAGGTGTCGATGCGCACGTGCAGTGGCGCGTGCCTGCTGCTCCATCCCTCGAAGCTCAAGCTCTAAGAAACCGAAAGTTCGTGAACAAGCACTCAGCGATTGATCGGCCAAGTTACGTACCTTGATGGAAAAGCGAGCAATGTAACGGCTCCAAGAGCTGGGCGAGGTTAACGGATCTGGGCTCGAAGTCGGCCGAATCCATAAACAGGTCGAGCTGCTTGATGCCACTGATGCTCGACCTCCTGAAAACAAACGGCTCGAGAATTTGCTGGACGTGGGCATTGCCTCGGAAGGTATTGCTGAGCGTGAGTCTGTTGAGCTTGGACATGACCAAGCCCTGGATGATTTGCACTTTCCCATGCAGCTGCACCCATTCCACGTTGCACGTAGACGGAGAGAGCTCCACGCGCAGTACCACACGGGCAAACATCCACTGGAGCTTGGGCATGTCGAGGGCGAGAGCAATGCCGACGAGGGAGTCGAGGCTGTGACTCTTGGGCAAATGCGTCCCGGCCCATTCCACAAGCAGCTGGGTCAGCCGGAAGTAGACAAGCGAGGGGCACAAATCGAGGAGCTGCTTCGTCGTGGCCACGTCCAAGCGTGTGCGTATGAAGCAGTAGACGAACGCGGGAAGAATTGGAGCCGCTGCCTTGGTTGCGAGCGGGCCACCAAGCTCGACACCATTGTTGACCGTACACATGCATATGCATGGGGTGAGGCAGACTTAGTTGTGTGTGTAGGCAATCTCAAATTTAGGTTGTAATTATTGCGAGTGGTGACGAGTTAAGTTTTTGACCTCATTTTTGGTATAAATTGGTTACAATGTTGAAACTTCTCCCCCTTATCTCATACTTTTTTACATTTCATCTATTCTTCTCACTTCTATACCTCTTTGTCCTTTTACTTTTACTTCTGCTTCCATTACTTTTGTCTCCCTACTACTTCTTTTTATATTTTCGTTTTGTTCTACTCTTCCCTTTTCTGATTCCTTTAATAGTCTTTATATTGTAGTGGTTGACCGACTTATGAAAGAGTATCCTGATCTTTTTAAATTTGACCTATCGTCTGGGGTTAAGATTGCCATACGCCATCCGATTCTAATCAGGGATGTTCGTCCAATTAAAGTTCTTGTTCATCGTTGGTCACCCAAGATTTTATGTACAAATGTTAAGGAAATGTTGGAAAAGAGTGTTATTCAAAAGCCGTGGAGTCCTTGGGCATGTGAACTTCATCTTGTGACAAAGCCCGATGGGAATATTCGCTTTTGCATCGACTATTGTCCGTTAAACAAAGTAATGATCCCATATGTGTACCTTTTTCCTCACACTGCTAATCTCTTTGATCGTCTAGAGAGAAGTCGTTAATTCACCAAGCTAGATTTTACTTTTGGGTACTAGCAAGTACTGATGGTTGAAGAAGATATTTTTAAAACTGTTTTTCGTACATTGTTTGGTTTGTACAAGTTCTTGGTGATGCCATTTGGTTTAAACAATGTTTTAGCAACGTTTTAACAAATGATGGATAAGGTTTTTTACAATATGCCAGAAATAACTGTTGACTTCATTAATAATGTTTTGATCCATTCACAAGGGATATGGGAAGAACATATCTATGATGTTTGTAAAGTGTTAAATCAACTACAAAACATTAGTTTAAAGCTGAAGTGGCCAATCCTAGCCCATCTACAAAAGAACCCTAATAGTCTTCCATTATCCCAAGAGTAGGGGATGATATAAGGTCCAAATGTACAATTACGATACCATATATTACTATTAGCATAAAACTGTCAGATTAATTTCAATCTAGACCACTCACTTCTGTATATAAAATAGGGTTTTTAAGTTAATTAATATACACATTTCCATATTCTATGCACTCACAACAACTAGAAAAAAGAGTTAATATCAATCAAGATTGAATAAACTCCATGTTGCTAATCCAAAAACACATCATCCATTGAAAGTGTTTGCATGATTCCAAATTCATATTACTGGTAGAGAATATAGGTCTGTGGTGGTGGCGGCCCCTTGCTTGGTTCCTGTTCTAGGGGCTTGTCAAACTTGACATACGGCTGCTTTTCCATCCAAGACTGATCAAACTCCGTGCTGGTTCTCCAGAAACTCATCATCCATTGAAAACCCTGTCTCGCCCCTGAATTCATGTTGCTGCTGGAAAACATAAACTTCCTGATCAGCTTCAACCATTCCATCCCTGAAACCGTTCATGGAACTCAACCCATGCTGAGAAAAGAAAGAGCTCCTTCCTAAATCGCATCTATGGAATCACTAAGAAAATATGGGACCAATACTTGATTCGTGTTACTTCTCGGACATGGTCAAAAGCTACATCCTCATGACCTCCCAAGATTTTGCCACCTCAAATGGAACCCATTGTCAAGACACGCACTGGAGGAGCTCGCCACCACCATTAGTATCCTCACCCTCCTTGAGTGATTTTGGAGATGGAATTGTTCAAGCTGGGCAGGAAGTTTTTGTGCAATAATGATGCCAATGTTTTGTAGCTGCAACAAAAAGCATGGGTAGTTTCGAGGAAATGTGAGTGGATGATGAGTTTCTGGAGGAGATTAACGGAGTTCAATCTGTCTTCATGGAGAAGCAGCCGCTTGTCGAGTTTGAATATATTCTATGGATCTGGAAGCATGGATGGCAAATACTTTCAGACTGATGTGTTTGTGGAGGAGCTCTTGTCGATTGAGGACAGCACCATGGCAACATGGAGTCTTGGAGCCACGAGTAGAGTTTGATAGGCAAATTTTGGAGTAATTTGAAATATTATAATTACAATTTTTTGGACTGCCACAATATCAATGGGCAGTGAGGAACAATCTGAGTTCCATGGACAATCTTCACGACGACGTTCTCATCTGGATCCTGTCCCTCCTCACCTCCTCGCACTGGTGAACAAGAGGTGGGCACAGCTGGCAAGGCTCGTCACGCATTTCAGGTTGGAATCTACCGGTGAACATGAGCAACGGGGTCTCCTTTGGCAGCAGCAGCAGCAGCAATCTCCACTCCCTGTCTTTGACAGGTTCCTCAAAACAGCTATGCTCTTGTCTTGACTGGCTACCGGTGATTGGAAAAACCCTCCACTCCCTTACCATCAGCGTCAGTGTGGATGGTTTCTGGTCCAGCATTCTCACCTGCCAGCAGCTAAGGTGCCTCCAGATCAACGATGGTGTCGAGCTTGGCGGCCCTCTTACGACCAAGGCAGCGGCTCAATTCTTCCCGCGCTCGTCTACTGCACGCTTCCAGACGTGGCCATGACGAAGCAGCTCCTGCCCCTCGCTCGTCCACTTCCGGCTGATCCAGCTGCTGGTGGAGTCGGCTGGGACGCATTTGCTCAAGAGTCACAGCCTCGGCTGCCTGGTGATTCGCGCCCACAGGGCCCTGGCAGGAGCGTTGCCAACTTTTCTCTCGTGCTCGACATGCCCAAGCTCCAGCGGATTTTTGTCAATGTGGTACCCCGTGTGGAGCTCTCGCCATCTTTGTGCAACGTGGAGTGGGTGTTGCATGGGCAAGTGCAGATTGTCCAAGCTCAACAGGCTCACACTCACCAGTACCTTCCGAGGCAGTGCCCACGTTTGTCAAGAGTCAAGCACCAGTGGCACCAAGCAGCTGGACCTGTGTAGACTTTGAGCCCAGATCCTCAACATAGCACACCTCTTGGTGCCGTTGCATGGCCTTGAGGTGCTTTACATCGCTCAGCTTCAACGTACATTTTGTTTCTCAATGATCATATCTATATTGTGTACCAAGTACAAAGTTTGTGCTTTATAAAGAATACAAGTTAGCCTAATAAATCTTCGGGTTTGTATCGTGGCCGTCCACGTGATGCACGGTTCGGATTGAAAAGAATATACCTCCATTAAAGCATACGAATATACTCGAGTGGTCGCGGGTTCGACTTCCCGGAAATCACTTTTCGCTTCAGAAAACCTTTTCCTTTGCCCTTCTTCTTGCGCCCCTTTTTTCTCTCGTTCGATTTTGCAGAAAGGTCGCCGGGTCGTATCCACGCGTCTCAAGATGTCCATGGAAAAACACCACGCTTGATCACCCGGGCTTTTTGCTTGTTCTTGCGCAAAACAAACCACATTGTCACAGGAACTTATTTAAAATTTAAGCTGGAAAAATACATGCGTTAGCACCAGGGCGAGCTTGGCGCTTTTGTGGAGCGCCTTCGTGTCCACTTCGCCCGACATCAAGATAACGGACTTGGATTCAACCGGGCCATTGATCGTCGTCAGCGCGTCCAGGCCATACATCCCATCGATTCGCCTTGGTGGACAGCTTGTGGGATATCTCGGTTCCAACGATGGTCCCCGTGAACGGGCTCACGACGTGCGAGTACGAGGCATTGAGGATATTGTCTCCATCAACAGGAGCAGCTTTGTTATTGAACAGTTTAATGGTCAGCCTTCAGCTTTTGACGCAGAAGTCGTGATTCACGACTTCAACCGGCCACAATGTAATCTCTACCGTGCATCTCTTCAGTGTCAGCAAGCTCAGCCAAAAGGCATCTCAATAAGAGGAAAATACCTTTTTAAGCTTAAAGAAAACATCGTACAAGCAAAAATTGTATTATTATTCCTCGCAAGCACCTGTGATTCTCGTTCCAAGCTAGAGTTTATTGTTTTCAAAGAAGACTCCACCTTCAACTTCGACTTAGACAGATCTTTGATATGGGCCATCACGATCTGTCATCCGCCTCCCAATAAGCTTGTGCCACTTGGACGCAAACTCTGTAGCGTCGCCCAAAGACATGCGACGGGCGACGCTTGCTCTCGATCATCTGGAGCTCTGCGTGGATGTGATGCGTCGCATCCCCACAAAAGACTTTCGATGGAACTGTAGCGGGGCTCTCTCCTCCTCCACTCCTCGCAGCTCGGCCACCTTATGAGGTTTCATTCCCACGCCATCCATCTTCGATCTCATCGGGCGATCTCCCGGCTGCTGGCTTGGCATTTCGATACACCAGCAGCTGAACCACGCCCGCAAACTTCTTCCCGCTCGCCGCGTAGATGCTCCACCTCTAATCTCAAATGCGTTGACCGGTGGCAGATTGCCAACGCTGGCGTTGACCAGGAGGCGCTGGTTCACGCACACGCCTCCGCGTTCTCGTCGAAACCTGCGCACCGGTGGTGGATTGCAGTGTAGGGCGCCTCCGAATCAAGCTTGGGCTTCATGCAGCGCCAGACAATGCCGCAGTGCGGCGGCATGCCAAAGCGGATGGGATGTACCTTGACACGACCGGGGAACGCTGTGCCGAGCTCCACGATCGCCGGAGGCACCCGGGGCCGAAATTCAGGCGGCTCCTCAATGCACACAATGCCTGTTACTACGAGCTGCGTCACACAGCTGCTGCTCACCACCAGCTCCTGCACAAACTCGATCTCGTCACTGTCCCAGCACGGCACCCGCTTGTTCGAGTAGGAGGTGTCAATGTGCACGCGCAGTGGCGCGTGCCTGCTGCTCCACCCCGCAAGGCTCAAGCTCTGAAACACAAAAAGCAGTCCAAATTTGTAACTGGTACACAAATATAGACACGATCCTTGAGAAGAAAAAATATGTACCTTGATGGTGAGACGAGCAATGTAAAGCGCCTCAAGGCCATGGAACGACTCCAAGAGCTGTGCGAGGTTAACGGATCTGGGCTCGAAGTCGGCCGAATCCATAAACAGGTCGAGCTGCTTGATGCCACTGATGCTCGACCTCCTGCAAACAAACGGCTCGAGAATTCGCTCGACGTGGGCATTGCCTCGGAAGGTATTGCTGAGCGTGAGCCTGTTGAGCTTGGACATGACCAAGCCCTGGATGATTCGCACTTGCCCATGCAGCTTCACCCATTCCACGTTGCACGTAGACGGCGCGAGCTCCACGCGCGGTACCACGGTGACAGACATCCACCGGAGCTTGGGCATGTCGAGCGCGAGAGAAAAGTTGGTAACGCTCCTGCCGGGGACCCTGTGGGCGCGAATCACCAGGGAGTCGAGGCTGTGACTCTTGAGCAAATGCGTTCCGGCCGATTCCACAAGCAGCTGGGTCAGCCGGAAGTAGACGAGCGAGGGGCACAACTCGAGGAGCTGCTTCGTCGTGGCCACGTCCAAGCGTGTGCGTATGAAGCAGTAGACGAGCGCGGGAAGAATTGGAGCCGCTGCCTTGGTCGTGAGAGGGCCGCCAAGCTCGACACCATCGTTGATATGGAGGCACCGTAGCTGCTGGCAGGCGAGAATGCTGGACCAGAAACCATCCACACTGACGCTGATGGTAAGGGAGTGGAGGGTTTTTCCAATCACCGGTAGCCAGTCAAGACAAGAGCGTGGCTGCTTTGAAAAACCTGTCAAAGACAGGGAGCGGAGATTGCTGCTGCTGCCAAACCAGGAAAGGAGACCCTGTTGCTCGTGCTCACCGGACGATTCCAACCTGAAGTGCGTGACTAGCCTTGCCAGATGCGCCCACCTCTTGCTCACTAGGCTACACCAATACAATTGGCGCGAGGAGGCGAGCAGGGACAGGATCCGGATGAGAACGTCGTCGGGAAGATCGCCCATGGAGCACACATTGTTGCGCCTCTCAGTGATCCTCATCCGGTCGACCAAGAAGAGCAGCTCGCTGTGCTGAATCTCGTCCGGAAGATCATCCAAGGCGCTCCTCGGCCTTTTCATCCCAGTGCCCTAAAATCTTGCCCTAAAATCTTGCCTTAAAACAATTAAGTAGCCTCGAGGAATTTATAGGTTCGATACCAGCGAGGAAATGGATGAAGAGTTTCTTGAGGAGATTTTTTCAAGCCCAGACATGGAATTTGATCAGTCTTGGATGGAGAAGCAGCCACATGTCGAGCAAGGGGCTGCCACCACCGCAGACCTATATTCCCCAACAGCAATATGAATCTGGAATAAGCATGGATGGGGCGCGCACAAACACTTTCAGTGGATGATGTGTTTTTGAAGGAGCAACACTTTTCTTTAAGGCAGAGTGTAATTTAAATTTTGCAAAATTTATAAATTTGTGAAGAAAAAACAGCTGGCGAAAATATACATTGCCAACACCGCTGGAATCACAATGTTATTGGAGCTATACTACAACTACAAGATTTAATTAAATAACATCTTTGACGCAGGCAAGAGCTAACATTGGCCTTGATCTCAAGACTTCGCCACCTCATTTTTAAGCAGCTTTTTGCCACGTCATTATTTGAATGCTACGTGGATAAAATCCGGCGGTGAGCATTGAACGCCGCGAATTTTGCCACGTAATAAACAAATTATATAAAAATGCTTTGTCAGAAGTGGGGTTCGAACCCACGCCCTCGGTAGAGGACCAGAACTTGAGTCTGGCGCCTTAGACCACTCGGCCATCCTGACTGACTCCCGCTCAGAGCCAACGTTACAATTCCCTCCAACAAATGATTGGGCGGAGTTAAAAGCCAGATTCCTCCGTTTATTCCCTCCTCCTCGTTTAGGGTCTCCTCTCTTTGCGGCAACGCGATGGGCCTGCCGCTTCCTCCCTCTCTGGCGGTAGCCGCCGCTGCAGCGATTGCCGCCGCCGAGGCCAAGCACCTCCAACAGCAGCAGCAGCAGCGCGCGCCTCTGGAGGAGGAATTCGACGCGATGGACGAGGGGGATGATGAGGAGGAGGAGGAACAGGAAGAACAGGATGAAGAGGAGGAAGAGGAGGAAGGGGAGGAGCCCGAAGCGTATGATTTCGAGGAGGATAATCAACAACAGCAGCCACAGGCGGCGCCGCGAGAGGAGGTCACGCTCATGTGGCTAGGGTTCCAAGTGACGATGAATTCTTCGCGAGATTCCCAGAGCGAGAAGGAAGAGGAAGCGGCCCCGGAATCATCCGCGGCCCCAGAAGCAGCGGCATCGGCAGCGATTTGATGAAAGGAAAGAAATTTCTCTGGTTGAATCCCTCTTTTCGTCGCGGCGGCCATGGCTGTGTGCTTGCTTTTTGTTCCATCTAGAGAGCATTTTCTCTCCAATGTAACAGCGCGGGGTTCGATTCTCTCGTGTAGCAAGAAAAAATTTGTACTGTGGGATCAGACGGCCAGGATTGGGCCACGTTGACGCGGGGTCTGATAAATGGTTTTTCTTTTTAAATGTTTCTTTGTCGCGCATCTAACGGTTGTGACGGCGCCACGCAAGTGTGAGTGTGGTATATTTGGGAATATCTCGTGTTTTTTTCTCTATCGTAAAACCTCTTGGGTAAAAACGTTATTTCTTTTGGGGCTGTAGCTAGGCGCCTAGCGCTGCAAGTATTTTGCCGGCTGCGCAAGCGATAGATAGCGCTAGGGCATCGCGATTCGAGCGCTCCGCCAGGGACTCGAAGCGGCATCGCCAATCTAGCTCCCGGAAGAAGGCGCAGCGACCTCGGCGAAATCGAGCAGCGAAATGGCTGTGGTTGGGGTTTTGGAATCGTCGCGATCAGATCAGCGCTGATGCCAGGTTCTTCTAGCTAGCCAAGCTCCCGAGCTTCCTAAATTTTGGTGTTTTGTCCAAGAGCTTGCAGATCGCCGCCGTGATTCATACACCAGAAGCTGGGGCTGGATCCCAAATCTGCTGTGAATGAATCGATCTGGCGGCATCGAATGGGTCTAGCCTAGTCTAGAGCGGGGTTTGCAAGGGGGCATTTCTTCGATACAGGCGTACGATCTCTTGCCAGGTATGAAAAAGAGATGGAGAAACTTCTTTCCGGTCAAGAGCTCTTCATCGAAGATCGACAACTCTTCCGGCGGGGACAACAAGCCCTCCAGCAATCCATCGCCACTCCACAGCAATGGTAGAAGCCAGGGATATGTAGCACAACAAGGAACAGTGGCTGTGCCGCGATGGAGTACTCCCAATGACGTCATGAACTCCAATTCGATCACTCTGGGGATGGTGATGGGCAGCAAACAGGATCTTAGACACCTTCCTGGGTCACCTGTAGATGGGCCGCCTGCGAATTCCTCTTCCGGATTTGAGCACTTACCTTCGTTCAAGGACGTGCCTAGCTCGGAGAAGCTGGCGCTGCTCGGGAGGAAACTCAAGCTTTGCAGTGTTCTATCTGACTTCACGGATCCCTCGAAGAACATCAAGGAGAAGGAGGTGAAACGGCAGGCTTTGGTCGAGACGGTGGATTTTATAGGCTCTCCAGGGAACATCAAGCTCAACGAGGTGGCGTACGAAGAGATCGTGAAGATGGTTTCGGTGAACTTGTTCCGGTCATTGCCACCTTCGCCGCATTCTAGCTCTGTCTCCGAAGGGCATGATCCGGAAGAAGAGGAGCCAACCATGGATCCGGCATGGCCTCATCTCTCACTCGTGTACGAGCTCCTCCTGAGATTTGTTGCGTCGCCGGACACGGATGCAAAGCAGGCTAAGAGGTACATTGATCATGCATTCGTACTGAGGCTGCTGGATCTCTTTGATTCGGAGGACCCGCGCGAAAGAGATTACTTGAAGACCATCCTTCACCGGATTTACGGGAAGTTCATGGTCCACCGTCCATTCATCAGGAAGGCTTTCAACAACATTTTCTACAGGTTCATCTTTGAGACGGAAAAGCACAATGGCATTGCCGAGCTTCTTGAGATCTTGGGGAGCATAATCAACGGCTTTGCGCTGCCACTCAAGGAAGAGCACAAGTTGTCTCTCGTCAGGGCGCTGATTCCGTTGCACAAGCCGAAATGTGTGACACTCTACCACCAGCAGCTTTTATACTGCATCACTCAGTTTGTGGAGAAAGATATGAAGCTGGCGGACACGGTGATCCGGGGCTTACTCAAGTACTGGCCGATCACTAACAGTCAGAAGGAGGTGCTGTTTCTTGCCGAGTTGGAGGAGGTTTTAGAGGCGACTCAAGCACCAGAGTTCCAACGCTGTATGCTGCCGTTGTTTCGGCAAGTCAGTCGCTGTCTCAACAGTTCGCATTTCCAGGTACATTTTGGTGTTTCCCCTTGGTTTCTTTTGGTTTGCGGTCTGATTTGCTGGTTTTTATAGGTGGCGGAACGTGCTCTGTTCTTGTGGAACAATGATCATATTATCAGCCTGGTGACTCAGAACCGGCAAACAGTGCTGCCTCTCGTGTTCTCAGCATTGGAGAGAAACACCAGGAATCACTGGAACCAGACCGTGCACGGCTTAACTGTCAACGTACGGAAGATGTTTCTGGAGATGGACAAAGATCTTTTCGACGAGTGTCAGCGCAAGTATCTTGAGGAAGAGGAGAAGTCGAAGGGCCTGGAAGAGAAACGGGAGAACAACTGGAAGCGGTTGGAAGCAGCTGCCGCGTCTAGGGTCGAGGCTACGGGTGGTTCGAAGACCAACACGCTTGGTTTGCCGCTGGGTGCGATAGCTGTTGCTGGAAGCTGAGCAGGCCAGATGGATCCTTGTTCAGTTTCTTCTTCAGCGAGCTCGCGAACGTCCCAGGTATTTTGCCACGGGCGTTTTGCGTCGAGAGAGATCTTTGTGCTTACTCACGGGATCGTGTATCTATATTTACTAGCGCGGCTCCTTATGAGGTGGAAGATCAGCGACACGACTTGAGAGTGTGTTTCAAATGAATCAAGGGGCTGTTTCTTGTATAAAGCAGATTTCTCTTACTTTATTGTGTATTTTTCCAGGCACATTTCTCAAAGTCTTGAGTCTTGAGTCATGGTGACTTTTGTGTGACGCTTGACCCCGTCCCTCTCGAGTGAAGGTGTTCTGGTAAGTTGTCTCATTTATTTGTTTGTTTGTTAGTTCTTGACATCTTGCTCGTACTTGTGTCAGGTGTCGTGCGTTTACAAAAGTTTTCGAGATTTATTGGCTCGAAGGGGATGGCTGAGCATCACTTGCGATGGAAGATCGGCATCAAGCAGCGGTGGTTAAAGCTAGAGCATCCCCGAAAGAAAAATGAAGACGAAGAATTTCAGGTACAGTGAGATTCGGAAGCTCTCTTGTTACGACGACCACTTTATTGCGAGTATAGCGAGAGCAGCTGCTAAAAGAGGTACATGGTTTGTAAGACACAGGGATCCGGAGGAAGCCGCAGCAATTGTAGTGCCCGGCGGCAGCTGCACAGCTGTTGCGTATTGACGCTCTCGAGGATCAATAAGTCGAGGTGGTGCTGGAGGTGGTGGTACATCGTCGTCCGTATCATAACAGTAACTCAACTGCTGATGACGGTGATGTTCTGAGGACACACAGCGTTAAAACAAGGTTTTGAGAAACTAGTCTGTCCCTGCTTTTGTTTCTCACCTCTATGGGTTTGGACAAGAGTTACTGCTGCTGATGCTGCTGGTGCTGTATCTGGCCAGGAGAGAGTTGAGCTCTCGATCGCTAGAAACTGAACCACAGGTACGTACCTTGTTTGCATTGAACTTGCAGTTGTTCCATCTCACATTTTGCTGGCAGATCAACCGGGACAAAAGACTTGGTGGCGTTGAGAAGCACTTCGCAGGTGCAAGATTCGGCAATTCCCTGGAGATTGTCGCAGCAGGCCTGCGTCGGCCAGTCGTGCGGAGATTGGGAACACGGTTGCAACATCAGTGTTACTTGCTGGATGTTACACGCTCGTGAGCCAGCAACTGCAGCAGCAAGAACGAAGGATAGAATGGCGACGAGTGTCAGAGCCATGGAACGCCTTCACTTGCAGTCGTTCCTTTTTAAGTACAAACAAGACGTGAATTCCTGGGGTCGCAAAGCATCAGGTGCAACACAAGCGAGGTTCCAAGCGTACGAAGGTCTGTTAAAAAGTGCTCACTGTTTGATTGTAATCGAGCTTATGTCCAGGACGAACAGCTTAGTCAAAGTGATCCCCTCTCGATCTTCCTGAGGTAAGCTTGCCAGATATCAACGATTTCCTATTTCTTGCAGAGACGCACACCTTCGTATATTGTCTCCATCGACAGTTTAATGGTCAGCCTATGGACATCGATCGGCTTTTGACGCAGAAGTCTTGAAAGTTCACGACTTGGAGTTCGCCAACCGGCCACAATGTAATCTCTACCGTGCATCTCTTCAGTGCCAGCAAGATCCGGAGGCGACGCCAACCTCATCTCGCTGGATTTGATACTCCTCGAAAGTGGTCACGTACTGAGAGTAATCGTTGGAGAGGCCAGCGATGACGACGCGAGTTTTCGGACCAAATTGGCCACGCTTTAGCGATGAGAGTTTCTTTGACGACATCTCTCAATCGTCGTCCTGCCATGGTACTAAACTCGTCAAAGACAGCTGCTGCTGCCAAACCTGAAGTGCGTGACTAGCCTTGCCAGATGTCTTGCTCACCAGGCTACCCCAATACAATTGAGCAGGGACAGGATCCGGATGAGAACGTCATCGGGAAGATCGTCCATGGAGCACAGATTGTTGCGCGTCTTGGTGATCCTCATCCGCTCCACCAAGAAGAGCAGCTCCGGAAGATCATCCAAGAGACCTTATTGATTTACTTGTTCTCGTGTAAATGAGTAAGCCACGTAGGAGAAACGCGAACGTATAACTAGCTGCTCAATATCCCGACAGAGATCAACAAGGCACGAGTAGCTGTTTGTCTTCGATTTTGTTTGCGAGCTAGTACCATCAACTAAAGCCTTGCATGCAAGCATTGAGAACACCACCCGACAGTCTGCACTTCCTTGTAAGAACTGGATAGAAGATAATTATTTCTTACCAAGAGCCTGATCGGTTTTCAGTCATTTTAGCCGCTAAGGCGATCAGAAGGTTGTATTGATGTTCGTGCGTGTATGATCGAGCATGTACACAATCTGGAAAACCGAAAGTTACTCACGAGACCAATAGCTAAAACACTTACGTTTGTCAAGAGCAGCTGTTGGATCCAGTCCAAACCTTTCCGCGATGGGAATGATTCCATCGGGACGGCTGCAAGCATCGTTTAGAATTCACAGCAAAGAAATTAAAGGAAAACGATCATACAATGCCATCTTGGTGTCGATGTCCACTTTTTACCATTAACTCCGTATAAGCCCAACGGCAGATGCTCGGCTTGCGCGAGCTGAGTTTTGCCAGTCCGGAATCGTTGCCCTCGCATGAGGAGGAGGACCTTTGAGACGATTGACAGGCGTCAGTCTTTAGATCGGTCTCTCGGCCTTCGAGATAACTTGTTCTTCCGGAATCAATGCCGGGGATGTGAAAAAGCCTCCAGGACGCGGGAAGTCATACATGCAATGGACTGCAAACAAAGAAGGTGCCAATCGATTGATCTTTTCTTTTTCCCTTATCGGATTTTCTTCTATCTGCCAGAGCTTAACGGGATTGTCCGAACCAAAGGTCGACAAGACGGCAGAAAAGATAGTGGTAAGTGCCTTGGATCGCTTATTGCTATTTTCCAGCAAGTCGGCTATCTCACTGGGAATGAGGCTCTTCAAAGCGAAAATCCGTGACACTGGAAGCCAGCTTTTGGATGATCTTCTCGGTGGTATGCTTCTCTCTCTCTCTCTCTCTCTCTCTCTCTCTCTCTCTCTCTCTCTGTGTGTGGCGAACTTACATGGCGGCCGCGACCGGGATGTTCCTCATCACTGAAGCTCTGGGCAGGAAAGTAACCTTCAAAATGTGGCGGGAACGTGAACTTCTTGAGCTTGACAGGCCCTGGATGGTCCCCACGCCCCTGTTCTGCTTGATCCACTCGACGGCATGTAGACGGCAAGAGCTCCACGATTTTGTGGAAAACAACAGCTGGGAAATAAAATTTTGCTAGAGTACATCTCCGATGCTGAGATAAGAAAGTGTTGCGACCGCAAACGCATCTATGGAATCACGAAGAAGTTATGCATACTCATGTCTACAAAGTCTAAACTTCTCTAGTAACTTCCCTGACACAGACAAATGCTATGTCTTCAACACCGAATCAACTTTGTCACCTCAAATGAAAATCATTGTCAAGCAGCTATCGATGCACTCGGTAGCGCAACAGGACCAAATGTCTTCGATCATCAAGGTATTTAATTTCTACACAGTTTCTTCTTTTAAGTTTTCCTTTGTTTAGAAAAAGACACCGGGGAAGAAAAAATCCGTTGAGACAAGAAAGAGTTGCTTCCGAAAGCTATGGAATCATGAAAAATATGGGAGCAGACACATACTCATGGGTACAATACTTGATTTATCCTGTTACTTCCTGGAATGGTAAACACAAACATTGGCCTTGGTCTTGAGTCTTTGCCACCTCAAATGAAAACTATTATCAGGCACCAATCGATGCACACATTAAAACAAGTCGGAAAGTTTGAAGTTTGGCCATTTTAGGTTGGTAGGAAAATTTTCAACCAATAAAATTTTGCTAAGTCATTAAAAGTGGTGAGTCAGCACTCAAATATGTATTTAAAATTTTGTGAAATATATAAATTTGTGAATTATTTTGTCTTTAGATAAAAAAGTTGGGAAAACAAAAATATGCATTGCTGAAGAGTGTTGCCACCACAAGCATATCTATGGAATCACAAAGTTATTAGAGCTATACTACAGCTACAAGACTTCAGCACGTAACATCCTTGACACAGGCAAGAGCTATATCTCAACACCAATTTTGGCCTTGATCTCAAGACTTTGCCACCTCTTGTCAAGCAGTTATCAACATTCAGTAACACAGCAAAGCTGGCAAAATGTCTACAATCAAAGTTTACATTTTCTTTCTTTTCTCAGCATCGGCTCTATGGGGATTTTTCTCTTCCCTGCTGTCTTTTTCTAAAGGAAGAGAACTTACTGGGGATAATGTTAGATATAATTCAAATAAATTATTATAATTATATCATACTACATTAAGAAAGAGCCACATCTATGGAATCACTAAGAAAATTTGGGAGCTACGGGTACAATACTTGATTCGTGTTATGGTCAAGAGTTACATCCTCAATACAAACACAATTGGCCTTGATCTCCCAAGATTTTGCCACCTCAAATGCCCATTGTCAAGACACACATTGACGCAGTAGGGCCAAGGTTGTGATGATCAAAAGCTGGCAGATGAGGGTTTAGGGCCGGAGGAGCCCGCCACCACTATTAGTATCCTCACCCTCATTGATGATGAGTTTCTGGAGTTTGATCTGTCTTCATGGAGAAGCAGTTTGATGAGCCATATATTCTATGAATCTGGAAGCATGAATGGCAAATACTTTCAGACAATGTGTTTTCGGAGGAGCTCTTGTCGATTGAGGACAGCTCCATGGCAACATGGAGTCTTGGAGCCAACAGTAGAGTTTGATAGGCAAATTTTGCAGTAATTTGAAATATGACACACAACGTTTTTTTGGACTGCCACAATATCAATCAGCAGTGAGCAACAATCTGAGCTCCATGGACGATCTTCCCGACGATTTTCTCATCCGGATCCTGTCCCTGCTCGTCCCCTCATGCTGGTGGGCAAGAGGTGGGCACAGCTGGCAAGGCTCGTCATGCATTTCAGGTTGGAATCGTCCGGTGAGCATGAGCAATGGGGTCTCCTTTGGCAAGCAGCAGCAGCAATCTCCGCTCCCTGTCTTTGACAGGTTCCTCAAAGCAGCTACTCTTGACTGGCTACTGGCGATTGGAAAAACCATTCACTCCCTTACCATCAGCGTCAGTGTGGATGGCTTCTGGTCCAGCAGCTACGGTGCCTCCATATCAACGATGGTGTCGAGCTTGGCGGTCCTCTCACGACCAAGGCAGCAGCTCCAATTCTTCCCGCGCTCATCTACTGCTTCATACGCAGACGTGGCCATGACGAAGCAGCTCCTCAAGTTGTGCCCCTCGCTCGTATACTTCTGGCTGACCCAGCTGCTGGTGGAGTCGCCCGGGACGCATTTGCTCAAGAGTCACAGCCTCGACTGCCTGGTGATTCGTGCCCACAGGGGCCCCAACAGGAGCCAACTTTTCTCTCGTGCTCGACATGCCCAAGCTTCGGTGGATGTTTGTCAACGTGGTACCTTGCATTGAGCTCTGGCCATCTTCGTGCAATGTGGAATGGGTGCTGCATGGGCAAGTGCAAAAAGTTTCAGAGCCTGGTCATGTCCAAGCTCGGGCTCATGCTCACCAATACTTTCCAAGGCAGTGTCCATGTCGAGCAAATTATCAAGCCGTTTGTCAGGAGGTCTAGCATTAGTGGCATCAAGCCGACCTGTGTATGGACTCGGGCGACTTCGAGCCCAGATCCGTCAACATAGCACAGCTCTTGGAGCCTGGCCTTGAGGCGCTTTACATTGCTTACCTCACCATCAAGGTACATTTTGTTTCTCAAGGATCATATCTATATTGTATATCAATTACAAAGTTGGACTGCTTTCTGTGCTTTAAACCTTGAGCCTCGAGGGATGGAGCAGCAGGCAGGCACCACTGCATGTCCACATCGATGCCTCTTCCTCGACAAGCAGGTGCTGTGCTGGGACAGTGATGGCCGCGTGGCGGCATTGTCTGGCCCTGCATGAAGCCCAAGCTTGACTCTGAGGTGCCCTACACTGAAATCCACCACGTTCCAACGAGAGCACAGAGCTGTGTGCGTGCACCAGCGCCTCGTGGTCAACGTTGGGCTACCTAGTCAACGCGCGTCTACACAGTGAGCGGGAAGAAGCATAAGGTGGCCGAGCTGCGAGGACTGAATAAGGAGCAAGCCTGGCTACAGTTCCATCTAATGTGTGGGTATGCAGAGCATGGTGTGGTGGTGTCACCCATTGCCATGTGTTTGGACGATGCCATACCCTATTGCTGATGAACTTGGTGAAGTATTTAAGGGTTGATTTTAACACATTATGATTGATGCTTCCAATCCAAGTATGGATAGCATTACCTGGTATGGCCCTTTAAAATTTCACTCTAGCCACATGATTGAGGCACCCTGGTGGCTAAAGGTGGGAAGAGTATTTATGAGGTTTGTACTAGGCTGTGGACTTTTGAAATATCATTTAAAATCCTTGACCATGGAAAGGAAAAAAAATAGTCTTTTTGATTATTAACTAATGATGTAATTATGTGGTGAGGAAGTCTCAAATGTTAGTTCTGCCATCATGGTAGTGTTCATTAAGACTACCACTGAGTTAATGCCCAAAGGCCCATTCACTAGGATTTAGTGGAAATCAAAAAAAGGATATTAAAGGTTTATGTTCCATTATATTTTATGGATGCTAAGGAATTGTCCCACTTATGGAATAATTTTTGAGAGATATATGGGTGGTTTTAAACTATCAATAAGATAGTGCATGGCCTTAATATAAGAGGCTTGGTACGTCAGTGGTACTTTTAGATGTCTAAAGTGGGACTTTATTAGATGCCAATTTTGACCATATGGTCAATGTGAGTCAAAAATAGGCTCAAGGGTATCTTAAAGCAAGTAAGAAACTTCATTTACCTTGACAACTTATAATCAAGTGAAAGATTTTGTGGTAGTTTAAGGATGGTTGGGTAGTGAGGAACTTAAAGAGGAGGCATAATATAATCTAAGTGATGCTAGACTTCTTTGTTGTGTTATTTAGCACTAAGTCATAACATTGGTATTAGAGTAGTTTTTTGTGATGGGTAACTAAGATGAATGCTAGAATCCTACTATTGGTGTTGATGGAGTTATGAAGGTTTAAACTATCCTTGTTTATGAGATATAAGCTTTTAGCAAAAATCAACAAGAG